GAAGTAAAGGAAAAGTCTAACTCAGAATGGATAAGAGGTATGGCCTAAAATATTCCCAAACCAACATGTTTTGTTAACAACAATGGCTACCATTTATCAAGATTTCTACTACATGCCAAGCACTGGCTACTCATTTTCTTAGGCGAATCCATAGGAAGCAGACTAGCCTACAGGTTAAGGGAAAATTACATCATCTCTTTAGAGCTCAGATTCCCCTTATGAAAAGGGGATTAATTAGAGTATCTACCCCACTGGGGTGGGTTTAAGGATGAAACGAGATAATGCATGTCGAGTACCCGTTACAGTGACTGGCAGGCTATAAGTACTCAACAAATGCCAGCTCTAATCACCCCTACTTAGAGCTCTTCCTGTGGCTCTGAGAAAGCTGTGATTCAATTCACAAAAATGTGACTTAAACCCAACTTCTTCAGAGGTGTGTCTAGACCTGCAAACAGAGGCTCATTGGGCATGCCTGGAATTCCGCTCACTGGATTTATTATCCTCCTAATGCCTTTCTCATCACAGAAAGATGCCACACAAAGGGCAAGCATTGTTACTGAGAGCATCTGATGAAACAGGGGTTCTGTGGATGAGAAACAAGACTAGATCAGAAGAAAAATCTTGGCTCGTGGAGTCTCTTGTCTCAGCACATGAAGATGTAACTGCATTTCAGTGATCCCATTTGAAAGATGCATTTGTGAAACACACCACTTGTCATTTAGGGCAAAAGATGCAAAGGGAATAGGAAATCTAAATATCTCGGGAGGGGGTGTTTTTTCTTGTTAGGTTCTGTATGTAGTGCACAACTAAAAGCCTCTGTAATGATAGCGCAGCCCACACATGCGATGAGTGATGTGCTTTCTATTTGGCTGCCCGACTGCAGTGCTTCCTGGGATATGACTTGATCCATGGCGGTTCCAAGTCCACCTTGTAACGAGCTTAATGTAGCATCTGCCTCTGCTCTGTAGGCATGTGGAAGTTTAGGATGGTGTGGGAACATTGTGTTTCATTTAGTAAGATGTGCGATTATAAAGAGGAAAAGTTGAAGCATGTCCCTGCAAAAGACTGACTTTTAGAATAAGAGGAGAGAACTTGTCTTTCTTCCATTTTGAGAAAAGAAAAGAATTAATTCCATCCGAGAGTGAAAATTGAACGGAAGGGGAGAAGATGAAGGGGGGAGAAAATGAAGAAAACTAGGGACATGAGGTGGATGTAAAGCAATGCAATAACTTTTAAGCGCACATCAAGCCAATATTTAAATTGGTGCTATCCTTCAAAACAACCTTGAGAGCTCATATCTGTATTCCAGGGAGGTTGCCACTGCTCAGACACACCGGGCACTGCTCTGGGAGATTTTCTTGTCACCCTTTGCAGTATGGTTGTACAGTTAATATCATTTTATAAGAATGACAGACTATGACAATATTTCTATCACATTGCCTGTTTGGTAATGGACAGAAGAAATATCATTCTATGGATCAATGTCTTCCTGTCATCAGCCTTCATGTATCTCTGGCATATTCTTTGAGTCACTGCATAAAGACTACTGTGTGGGGCAGCAATCTTAGGGTAGCTCTCTGCTCTCAAGTGCTCAGCTCTAGATCTGCCTGCTCTTAAGGACTGGGACACACCATTAGGACCAAAGTCTTTCATATAAGGAGATCTCAACAGGACAGTGACCAGACACAAGGAAGTCTCTAAGGAGGATTCCATGGTTGGAGAGCTGTCCAGGAATTGGGTACTGATGAGCTGTGGACAGGTGGTGCAAAGGTGCTAACACCTGCCCCAGGTCAGGAGGAAGGGAGTTGTTGGTCTTTGTCTTTTATCTATTTTCTTTTTTTCTCATTCCCTTATTTAGTTCCTTCTCTACCTTCTCCCTCTTCCCATTTTCATTTTCTGCCAAACTGGGCAGCTATAGCTCACCTTCCTGGGAGAAAGAGGAAAGACTGTGCCTCTTGGTTCTCCTCCATCAGAGACTTAGCCTTAAAAAAAGTCTACAGAACATTGATGACAACAAATTCTTAAAAACCCTCATTCCATCTTAGGTTGATTATTATTGCTAAATTGGGCATCCCAGCCTCTTCTGAGGCATTAGGTGGGGAGAAGGTTATTACTATCTATTACTAAGCATTTAGTTCTGGGCAGGCAGTTCCCCATGTGCTTTCCTTCTCTAAGCCCCTAGAAGATGGATGCTATGATTGCTCTTTTAGAGAACATGGCTTGACTTGAAAGATCAGTGGTTGTGATATGTGCTACTTATTCAATGAATTATCTGAGGCTACCATAACTTAGGGATCAGAATGGGCAACATGGAGAATAAAATTCATTGATATCTACAGTACTACATATTCATGCTTTTGATGGTCATTTTACTTAATCTCATAATAATCCTATGAGTCTATATAATAAAGAGCTAATATGCAAATGGTCATCATGCCCTCATGCCATAATGGCTCAGACACTCAACACTGGGGAGAGAGGAATGGGGAGCAGCCAGGCTATGGCTTGGGAGAGGGACAAGCCGCCTGCCCCACGGTCCTGGGCAGCAGTGCCTGTGGTTGCAGCCCAGGCGAAGCCACCTGCCTATAGTCCCCTGCGGCTGTGAAGCTGGCCCGGGTCATGGGTGCCTGCGGCCAGCCAGAGGGAGGGAATCCTGGGTCTCGGGTGTGGGGGCGAAGCAGATGTGGTTAGGGACAATCAGACCAGCAGGGGAGCAGTTAAGGGTGATCAGGCAGGCAGACAGAGGGGTTAGGAGTGATCAGGCAGGCAGGCAGGCAGGCAGGTGAGTGGTTAGGAGCTAGCAGTCCCAGACGATAAGAGGCAGTCAAACATCTCCCGAAGGGTCCCAGATTAGAGTCTGGGCCGAGGGACTCCCTCCCTCCCCATACAAATTTCATGCACCAGGCCTCTAGTTTTATCATAATAACCCCATGTTATTATACTAATTTTATAGATGTAAACACTGAGGCACAGAGAGGTTCAGTAATTGGCTGAGGTCACACAATTAGTAAGTGGCTGAGCCAGTTTTTAAGCTTGGGATTTTCTGACTCTAAAGCCTATGATCTTTCACCCCCCGTGCTTCTGTCGTTTTATGGGTCAGTCACATCTACAGTCTAGTTGGGTTTTAGCAAGTGAAACCCTGTGCCTCACCCTCTGGCAGTTCTATTTGCCTCTGGGTCTTGATGCTTCCTATACCATCTCCAGCTCTGGGCTGGGGTGGGGGGTGGAGTTTCCCACATCAAAGCATGTGTGCAGGCTCCAAGAACAGAGGCATTCGTGTGCTCTGTAATTGCACACTTATTCGGTCATGAGACATCATCAAACCACGCTGGCCTTTGTCTGAATCGCCACTGGAGAGTTTGATCTCATCAATATTGGAAATGTCAATCTGATAAATAGCCCTAAACAGGAAGGCTGAGACCAGCCTCTTTCCAACAGAACTCTAGTGCATGGGAGTGAACAGAGTCAACATCTTATGTGCTGTAAATCCCCTGGAGTGACCACGAATGAGAGAGGGTTTCTGGGTTGAGGAGAAAAAACTCCCTTTGATTCATCTGAATTAATTTCGCATCCCCCCGTAGGGAAAGCTCCGGCATCACCCTCTTGATCTCCACCCCTGCACATAGCCCTCAATCCTGAGGGAGTGCCCGTACTGCCCCTTCTTTCACTTTAATTAAACCCATTTGTCCTGGGGACACTGAGCCTGGGGATGTCCCAAGGCTTTGATGTCTAACCCACTGGCATGGAAGGGGTGGGAAGCCCATGCTCAGAGTGAGGACAATGGCTTCTTCCTCTGACTGCAGAGCTTGAGGTACGAGCTCTGGGAAGAGCAGACTCTGTGATGTTTGGGTAAAGAATTTGAGACCCAAATTTATATTTGCAAAGCTGTGTACCACCTGAAATCACCCTCTGCCTTTGCTTGAGCTCTTTGCTCTCATTTTTTTGATGGTAGCTCCACCAGGAGGGAAAGTTAAATGTATTGTGGGAGTTTAAGGCAGAGGCTGCTTGGGATTGTAGGGCTTGCTACTTAACCTATTAAAGATGGCCTTTACCTTCCCAGATCTATTCACCTGGCACCTCTATAGAGAACCTAACCCCCCTTTAGGTCTGGAACAGATCAGCACCAACCACCTGGGGTCCAACATGACACACGAGAGCGTCATGTGAGTGGCTGTGCCAGGCCATCTGTACTCAAACATGGCTTGCCGCAGGCCGACTGCAAGTGGCAGTCTGGTACCATCCCAGCAAAGAAAGTGGCCGCTGAGCTCAGCAGTTACTGCTCCATTTCAGAGCCACAGGAAACGAACAATCTTCTAGTCTAACCCTCTCAGACTACAAATGAAGAAACTGAGACCAGGAGAAGTTCAAGGTCACAAAGGTCATTAGTGATGGGATCTGTTTCCTGAAGAATTTGTCGCCCACCTTATCCACCTGCCTCAGGGACCTGACCCCACCCAGCACTGGACTCGGGTCTACCTGAGTGCTGGTCCTCACTCTGGTGCCACTTGCTGGTGCTTCACCTCTTTGGTTCTCAGTTTCTTCCCTTGTGAAAAGGGCAGGAGTGGGGAACATGGGCCTGCCCTCCCTGCATGGCAGGTTTTGTTGTTGTTAATTAAGGAATAAATAGTCAAATGGAAAGTAAGAAAAAAATGTATACTTAAGTAAGAGAAAATGCTGTATATATAAAGCCTGATTATTATCTGGGGTGACATTTTATTGGAAGCAGCAAATCAGGCCAGGCCAGAGATGTGGGAGGTGAATGCTCATTAGCACTGACATCCCTCAGAGAAACTTGGTACTCTCTGTAAGCCTGCAGAAAGTACCCATGTGTGTGCTTGTGTGTGTGTGCACATGTGTGTTTGCACACGTTTGTGTGTACACGTGTATGTGCACATCTGGATGTGTGTCTTGGGTAGAGAGGATAGAGGAGGGAAGGCATGAGCCCTCTGCATTTTGGCTGATAGAGAGAAAGGGAGTGACGGGGATGGGAAGAGGCCCACCTGTCAGCCACATCAAGGAGGGGCAGCACCGTCCACTGCCACAGGCTCAGGCCTTCATTTGTGGCAACATGCCAGACCATCCTGCTCTGCTCCTTCCCGGTTCTGTTCTCCACCAGCACCAAGGAGACATTTCCCCGCAAGACTCCCTGGATGAGCCAGGACATCCGGAGCTGTGAGGGAGAGAAGAGCCAGAGGATACGATGTTAAAGGAACTTCAGGGTCTCTTTCTGAAACTCTCAACCCTAAAGACGTTGTGGAGACTTAGCGAGGTGAGCCAGGTGCCCTGTACTTAATCTTGCCCCCTGTCTCCCAAAGGCCTTTAATGAAGGTTCAAGGAGCTGGGCTGGGGCAATCAATGGGCCATTTTGGAACTTGGTTCAGATTGATGTCATAATCCTAAATTCACAAGATTCTTCCTCTGAGGTGATATCAAAGTCAACAAAGTCAATGGACTTTTTAAAGAGAACCCAAACATTCTTGTCTGTGGCCCCAGTTCACTTTGTGACCTTGGGCTAGTAATTTTGTGACTCAACTTCTTTCCATGATGTGGGTATCATAGATCTTTACTTCTACCTTGAATACACTGATAATCTTATTTAAAGGGTTCCATGTCATGTGTTAGCTAACTGAAGACCCTATGACTTAATACCAGTGACCACTGTTAGGCAAAGGTGAGACAAAACAATACAAATTAAGATCTTTTAAAATGGTTGTCTTTCAGAACAAGAATGCCCATTTTGCCAAAAGGAAGCCACAATCATATGTATTCAGTATGTATTTTTGAAAGGTTTCTATGAATTTGTTTTCTAGACACATGAAAGGGAAATATAACTAATATTTCTAAGAAAGTTTAAGTACAGTCATGTCCAGAGGCAGTGTATACTATAAACAAGCTCTCTGTCTTTGTGTTTAAAGTAATAGAGGTTGTATGTTTGATAGAAACAATCTATAAACACTTAAAAGTTAGGACAACTACAGCATAGCATTGGCACATATATTCCTGTTCACATCTTGTCATAACAAATGGTTATTGTGGAAAGCAAGGGAAAATGTGCCTTATGCGAGCTGGAGTTTTTATCAACTACAGTTTCACCCCAGAGATTCTGATTTAATTGGCCTCGGGCAGGTCCTGGGCATCAGCAGTTTTTCAAATCTCTCCAGATGATTCTAAAGTGCAGCCTCTGTTGAGACCACTGGGGAGACGGGGCCACTTAGTGAAGGAAGTAGTTTGGCCTTCTCAGTGAGGAGCCCATTTTCATCTTGGACTTGGAGTAAGAGGAAATTCTTAATAACTGAAAAAATGGCTTAAAGTGTGCCCACCATTGCCAAGGTGTAGAAGGAGTGTTTTTCCTGTAGGGGAGGACATGGTCCCCATCAGAAGGCCTGCATGTGGCTGCCACATCACCTCTGGGTGAAGAATGAGAACAACCCTGAGAGTGAGAGACCCCTGGGCTTGGTGAGCAAGGTGACCTGACAATGCAAATGGGACCTGAATTCTCCTCTTGGATCCACAGTGGATGGCTCTCACCAATTTCTTAATTAGAAGAACTGAAGGGCTGATGTCAATTCTTGCAAATATCCCTTATGAGTTACTTGTATCTAAATAAATAGAGAGCAACTATCTGTGGTTCCCAGAGCAGATCACAGGCTACAGTCCCTCTTAATGACTTATATTTCCCTAGGTTAATGAATCCTTTTGATATCATTATGTGTAGAAACTTATGCCAGGTAGACCTGGGTCACTGTTTGGTGCCTAGAACAAAAACACCCTTGGAATTTGATCTTAATAAGACCAATTTCTATCAGGGTGGCCTATAAGATAAAATAATTACATGTGTATTGAATAGGAGAGAGCTGTGTTAGGCACTTGTATATATGCTGTTTCTTTTTATACTCACAATAAATAGAGAGAGGTATTGTCATACCCATTTTTCAGATGTGGAAACTAAAGCTTCAATAGGTGGAGTGAGTCACCCATGGTCACTAAGTCCATATGTTGCAGACCTGAATATCACACTGTGTTCTATGTTCTTTTTACCATATCTGTTTTGCTGTATACATGCGACATATTGTAGTGATAGGCACTTAGTCTTTTGGGTGTATGGAGAAGGTTTTCTAGACCCTTGTTGCTTAAAGCATGGTCTGGGGACCAGCAGTGCTGCATGACTTGGGAGCTTCTTAGAAATTCTGGCTCCCAGGCCCTACTTGTTCAATCAGAATTTATTCTTTAATAAGACCTCCTCCCAGAAATGCCCTCATATTGGGGGAACTAGGAAGATAGTGGATTTTAAACCATTTATAACCATTGTTTCTGCCAAACAATGAATAGTCATATATGTATGTGTGTCTGTATGTGTAAATATACATAAAACAAGAGTATTCACACAAATATTGGAAATCTTATACCAATCCCATATAATAATAGAGTAATATGCAAATCAACTGTCACTTCACGATAAAGATGGTGGTGCCCACAGCCAATAAGAAGGGGATATGCAAATTGATGTGACAAAGATGGCCGTGCTGGCCAGAGCCACAGAGTTGGGTCGAGAGTGAGTGGGAAGGTTTGGCATCCTGGGTCGCTAGGACACCAAGTCTGGCCAGAGAGCAGAGTGGGAGAGCAGGCTGGAGTTCCCAGTCCTTTTGGTTTCTGCAGCCCCTGGACCAGAAGCAGAAAGCAAGAGTGTGGTGAGGATCCAGGAATTCTGGGAATCGTACTTCTGGTGGCAGCCCCTGGACCAGAAACAGAAGCCCAGAGAACTGGGAGCACCAGAAATGCTGGGAAATGTAGTTGCATGATCTCTTAGACACTGGAGCAAAGTGAGCCTGGAGCAAGTTACTGTTGTGGGTGGGGGATGAAGGAAAAGCAAAGGTGAGAGACATAAGTAAAATCAGAGTGTCGAGGAAAAATTAAAAGGAAGATATCCTGTAACTTCTAGGATATCTCCACCAATGGAGCAAAGAAAAAAGAAAAGAAAAAAAAAGACCTCTATTATTCTGTGAGCACCAAACCAGGCTGGGCTGGGTTCTCAGACAATTCGCTCATATGATTGCAAAGACAGACAGAAACTTCACTCTTTTATGTAGCCAGGCAGATACAATGCACAACAAGCATGTTTTTGTGGAAGAGGACTTAACAGAACTGTTTGCTATACACTTGTTGGTAAGTCACCTTTTTGGTGGCCATCTGTGTTAGTTAATTGCCATAATTAAGAATAAAAATTAAAACTTTTCTATCTCTATGACAAGCAGGTCCTTACAGCTTGGAGCAAAGTAACTATCTATAATAATAAAATTGCTAATTAGACAGGATAGCCAAACGACCTTCCGGACATCATTCCAAATGTCCTTCTGGACGAAGCTGTGGTGGCAGGGCTGAGGCAGAGGTGGTTAGAGGTGATCAGGCAGGCAGGCAGAGGCAGTTAGAGGTGATCAGGCAGGCAGGTGAGCAGTTGGGGCAATCAGACAGGCAGAGTGGTTAGGGGCAATCAGGAAGGCTGGCAGTCAAGCATCCTGGATTGTGAGACGGTGCAAGTAGGCTGAAGGACCACTTCCCCTCTCCCCCCACGAATTTTGTGCACTGGACCTCTAGTGCTAAATAATATTTATGATAAATAACACTTATTGGGGCCTGTAACAGTAAAACTTTTGATCCTTCTATATGCACTAATAGATATAAGTTATAAATGGCAGTTTTGGACTAATAAACTCTTTTATATGCAGGCAGCAAATGAGACAAGTGGAAAAAGACGAGGCCAGGAGCACGCCCCCAGCAATTCTATCTTTGGCTCCAGCCAGCTCTTTCACCAGGCCTTTGCTCCCTCCCTCTCGGTGGGCCTGATAGACTTTCCAATTATGTGCCACCAGTGTTTGTCGTTTCATTAATTAAAGTTCTGCATGTAAAGCAGAGCTGCATTGTGGTTGGGCCTGATGTAATTATTCTCTCATGGCCCTCCCTCCCACCCCAGAGGCAATTACGGCAATTTTATGTCTAGAACATGCCTCCTGTTTGCTATGCATACCTTGTGGCAACTTAACAACCTCTTGAGCCCACAAGAAAACATATCAGCATGGAATTTAGGCTGAAGTTGGACAAAAGAGAATCAAAGGTATCAGGTAATGTCCACAGTGCATGCAACCCCAAAGGCAGAAAATGCTACAAGGGGGCGGATGCTATCTTTCTGTGAATGCTGAAGGGCTGCATGAGTTTCCACAGCTGAGACAAAACCAAGGGTGGGTTCTAGTGTGTATTTCACTTCCACAAAAGGGAACATTTCTTAACAGACAGAGATGCCCAAAGATGTGCTTGCTTGAGGCGGATGGTGGATATTGCTTGAGATATTCCCCATATCTCATCATTGCCAAATGACTGAGACTGGGTTGTCGTCAGGGACATCCAAGCTTTTGAATGGAGGTTCAAAAACCTTCCCCACCTAAGATGCCACAGGTCTATGTGCCTGGGTGTGAACTTGTACTTTTAAAAGGTCCTTGATTTCAACATGGCCCCTTCCTAACTTCACTGAGAGCACCGACTCGCTGCAAAACCCGGTGTTCTTGTATTACCACCTCCTAATTCACCTGGAAAAAGTAACTCTCTGGCTATAAATAGCAGAATGAAAAATCAACCCAACGCAGCAAGAAGCAGGCCAGATGCGGAGTTTTGATAACGAGCAAATCAAATATGCTGGCAAATACTTGCAATTACAGAGGCTTAAGAACTGCTGGATTCCTGGCCAGGTAGGAGACTTAAAAGACTGAGATCCTTTTGAAGACAGCATCCGGGCCTCTTTGTCTCTGAGGCTTTACAGTGAAGCCAGAGAACACCCAGGCAGGGGCATCCACATGCCCCCGTCGTAAAAACACAGCAAGAGAATGTGAAGGCTTTGTATAAAAATAATAACCGTGGGATCCCCGGCTGGTGAGGTTATGGTGTTACAGATATGTTTTTCCCTTTGGTCTTTTTGAAAATTTTTTCTAATGAACATATATTATTTTTGACAAGTAGGACAAAAACAATACAATAAATTTAGGGCATACTGCTATTAAAAGCATGTTTATGAAGAATCATATTGATATAGGAAAAAGATGATATGAAGAAAGAAGACACAAAAAGCTTATGTGGTGTGATAGTGCATCTATAAACCTTTATCTCTCACTCTGCTCAGATCTG